CATGTTTGGGTTGTGTGTGTTGAGGCCGCCTTGCTCTGTAGAGCAATTTTTTAAAACACTGAAGGGACATCATTTCCGGACCTCCTCGAAATCTTGGGATGCCAAGTGTACGGCAGGGATTATCCCAGCCTTTACGATAAAGGAAATGGAGAACTCATTTGCTGTTTCCTGCCACCTCTTCCTTCCCAGCCAGCCTCATCAAGACACCAGGGGAAGACCTCTGTTCATCTCTAGCCCCTTCCAATGTGGGAAAGCCTGGACTGGAATAAAGGCCCTACAGTGTGTCAGGGCACTGTCTGTGCCAGTACAGTGAAGAATATTGAATGAACCGAAGAGGCAGCCTAGCCTGTTAACACGTGCAGCAGTAACTCCTTCCTGGTTGTGGGGAGAGAACTCTGGAAGGAAACCAAAGTTATGTAACTGACATACTTTCTAAAATACCCAGTCACTTCTTTTACCTCAGATCAAAGAAAGGAAGGGTTTGGAGATGACTGACCAGGGAAGGCCATGATTTAATTCCAAATTATTTTCTTTGTAGGAAAGTAAGAATTCTTTGGTTCTGAGCTGTTTTTTTCTGAGGAGTGCAGATTCCATGGGGATCAAAGCCAACAACACATGGATTCACTATAGTTCTTTGTGAAGAACAGTTTTCTTCAATAGAGCAGCCTTCTCTCACCATCTTAAAACCCACCTAAGAAATTGTGTCATACAGATATGCTCTAAGAACCGGCTTGCAGTAGCCCCAACCCAAACCTTTAAAAACAAGAACAAGCTCTTAAAAAACTTGGGTGGTCTTGATGGTCTTTGGACCGACTACCTACGACTTTGGTGAACCCTGAGTGGGAGCAGGGTGCTAGAATTCAACTCTAAGATGCATGGAGGAAGGCTTGGAGATGTGCTTGGTGAGGACTCTGCTGTACAAAGAACTCCCCTGAATGTATCAAGTCAACAGCTGTAGTTTTATCATTTAAGGCTATTATGGGAGGTCTGGTGGCTTAGTGGTAAGGAACTGTGCTGTTATGCAAAGGTTGTTGTTGCTGTTATGTGCCGTTGAGTCGCTTGCAACTCATAGCGACCCTATGTACAACAGCCCTAAACTCTGCTGTCCTGTGCCAATACAAACGTTCTCTGACACACCCATCCCAATTATCCCAGTCACTAAATCAATCCACCTCATAGAGGGTCTTCCCCTCCTGTGCTGTCCCTCCACCCTCCCAAGCATGATGTCCCTCTCCAAGGACCGGTCTCTCCTTACAACATGTCCAAAGTATGTTAGATTGAGCTTCAGAATAATTGCCTCCAAGGAGCCGCCCAGTTTAACCCTCTCCAGGATGAATCTGTTTGTTTTCCTAGCAGTCCATGGTACTCTCAATACTCTTCTCCAGCACCACAGCTCAAAGGCATCAATTCCCTTTCTATCCTCCTTAGTCACTGTCCAACTCTCTGATGTATAACCAGTGATAGCAAAGTCCATGGCCCGTATCAGATGCACCTTAGTCTCCAGAGACACCATTGCTCCTCAGTAATTTGGAGAGGTCCCTAACAGCAGACTTTCCCATGGCAACACATCTTTTTATTTCCTGGCTGCTGGTGCCGAGAGTGTTGACTGTGGAGCCAAGCAAACTAAAGCTGTGAACAATCTCAATCTCTTCACCATCCATCCTGATGCTGCCAATTGGTCCAGTGGGGAGAATCTTTGTCTTGTATGTACCTACGTATGCAAAGGTACCCAGTTTAAATCTATCAGCTGCTCTACGGGAGAAATACAGACAATCTCTTCCCATGAGTTTTACTGCCTCTGAAAATTTGTTACAGTTTCGGGTCGGTTCCAACTCAACTGTACTCAACAACATTCTTTTGTGAAACTATCAAATAAAATCACTGGGATGTATTCTATCTCTTGTCACTCCTAACCTATAATATAAACTTCTAAAACTCTAGGGCCAACATATCTTCATTAGGACTGCCTACATTTCCTTTTAAATTTACATGAGTCAAAATCTCAACAATGAATTTCCACAAACTCAGTCTTTAGTCCCAAAATTCCCAAATGACTTTATATTTATTTTACTCTAGGTTTCATTCATATTTTAGCAAGTATAAAGCAAAAAAAAAAAAAGTCAAATCCTTTTCAAGTAAGTAACTTTTATTTCTCTCTGGTATTTCACAGTCAATTTCTACAAAACTTCACACTTCTCAAAAGAATTCACATTTGGTAAATAAATCTCTACCCTACATAATCCATGGCTGGAAGAACACTTCAATATATGCACGTTGAGTTACTTCTCTGCTGAAGGAACCACAGCAGAGAAGGAAAGTCAGACAATACCATAATCAACAAAAAGCAATGAGTAATAAATTACAAATGTCATGAAAATACCATCCCCGCAACCGATTCAATCAACCTCTTTTTCCAGATGTGATTCGACACTGCCAACAAAACCTGCCAGAAATTCTTTCGAGGGCTGGTCTTAGAACGACTTCTCACTTTTAGGAAACAGTGGTTCTACCACCGTATTTCGTACCAGACCAAATCATGCATTGCCAAGCCCATCACTACTTACAGCCCTGTGCAACCAGCGAAGATCTTTCTGGTCAACTCCAAGGTTCCTCCGTTTGCCGAGCTGGCTTCTGGCCTTGATGGCTCTCTCCTTCCAAGATCTTCTGTACTTGGCTTCATCTGCTCACAGCTCTGCTAAGGAATGAACACCATGCTAACAGCCGAGGGATGCTTCCAGCACCAAGTGGCAAGATCAGAGGAAAGTGGTGAATAGTGCTGCTTCTCCCTGCTACTCAGCAGCGAGGCTGGAGGATGCCTTTCATCATCTTTCACTGTGACAGTAAGAAATGCGAACCTTAATCGAGGAAGAGGAGTCCAAGAGACTTACAGCTCCAGAGGGTTTTGCCAGTGGAATAAATTTGGTTCTCAGCAAGTGTTTTCAGATTTTTGACACTCGGTAAGACTCATGACTGGTGCCCAGGCTGTTCTCAACGCACCTGTCTCTCTACAGCTTTGCTGCCAAATAGATTCTGCCAAAAAGGAAGCTTCCTAGCATGGTGCACAGAACCAAGCTGCAAAGGATGGAGCCACGCAGATTCAGGGGCGGCAACGGGAATGGGCCGAGGGACAAATATCAAAAGGAGCATAGTCTGCTGAAAGACACATTTGTTCTGATTTTCAAATTCCCTTCAGAAAGCAGATGGCAAGTAAGATTTCAAGGGGGGGGGGGTGTCCCCAGAGATTTTTACCGAGTTGTCTGTTTCTAAATCAGTCATAGTCAAATCATACATGTTTGCGAACAAAGGCCGTTTGAAACCTTGTTAATTTTTCAAACTATGTTAAGAGTTATAACTACCTAGTAAATATGAGGAGTCTCTATGTGGTGTATATGGTACTCAGATGTTAAGTGGAAAGGTTGGAAGTTTGAGTCCACCAGAGGCACCTAGGAATAAAGGCCTGGAAAGCTACAGCCACAAATACCAACCATGAAAATCCTTCTGGGGCACAGGTTTACTCTGACATACAGGAGGTCCCCCTAACTGGGAACTGACCCAGGGCAAGTGATGAATAAATACAATCATTAACTTCTGGCCTTGGTAGAACTTCAAGAACATCCTATTTGCACACAGCTCACAATGAACTTACTTGTAAAGTATAAAGATTCTCAAGAGGATCAACTTTTTAAATGGGATAAAACAAAATTTAAAACGTAACTACTTAGAAATCTAGTTTACCTATACAATGAGGCAGAAAAAACATGTGTCTTTTATCATCAGGATAGTCTCAGCCCACTTTTGGATGAACGCGGAATAACCAGGGTGTCTCCTTACACTTTGCTGCCAATTTCCAGATGCAGAAGACAGCTGCCCATTTGTGCCCCGTCACGCTGACGTGGGTCAAGAACTCTGGAAGTGACTAGAAAATGGATGTGGAGAGTAACTGCCAATCTGTTGTGGACATTTGTGTCATCATCTCAGGAAGATTTCACTGAGTGAAAAGTTTAACAAGTTTAATTATCACTTCGATCCTTTTTTAAAAATATTTTTTTAAAAAAGCGGCAGGAAGTTAATACATCACCTTGTCAGGAACCATGGAGGTTATGTTGGCAGACAAACAATAATAAAAAAAAACAAAAAAAAAACCCAAACAACCCCAAACAGCTGCCGTTTCAAATACAGAAAAAAATTTTTAAAATCACCAGAATCTTCTGGCTCCAACCAAGAGATGGTTGCCTTGTCTATTTTCTTCAGATCCCAAGATTTTTGGAAAAAGGAGAAAAAAAAAACAACACCCAAAACCTTATCAAATAAAATTCCAGAAAGTAGTAAATCCATTCTTTGCATGCTTTCAAAATCAGAACTATTTTGCCTCCCAGTTCAAGTGAAACCTAGCTTGTAATAGGGCTCAAGAGTCCAATGGTGTTACCTATCCTTTGACTTTCAAGTTTAAGAAAGCAGGTCTCAAGCAGTCAAGCTGCTGGCAACCTTGGCTCAACCTGTGCCCAAAGCCTTTTAGGTTTTGCCCAACTGGCCCGACACCTCTGTGGAATGCAAACATACCTTCTTTCTGTCCCACGTAACTAAGATTCTTAGAGAAGATGCATGAGGGCATCTGACGTCACCTACACCCTGGCTTGACAGGGGATCTCCTTCTGTACCTCTCCACATCACTGTACCCTTCCGCCAGGTAGTAAGTGGGATGGTGGGAGCTGACAGCTGCGGGAACCATCTTTCCTGCCTTATCCCTGGGCCAATCTCAGTGCCTGTGGGCTAGAAAAAAAAATGAGATTTAAAGACAATCTGAACCTGAGGCCCTCAGTGGAGTAGAGACATAGTCTGTGCATAGACCACAGGTTAAGACAGCAGCCATGTGGCTTCATATGTGAACCATTAAACAGTTAAAACTTAAAAGCAGCAGCTCTTCTGTAAGCTTTGGGAAACAAGGGTAGTTCAGAGCGTTAAAAGGACCACTCAAGGAATGGGAAAACCTGCCCTTTGTGCTATATGTCGGGGTGGTCAGAGAAGGCTTCTAGCTGGCGGCCAGGGTGACTGGACCTGGATGTTAAAGCTGCCTGGAGCTTGGCCCAGGCCTGCGGGGCCCTGCTCTTGGTGGCCTCTATGAACAGCTGGGTTTGCTCCTTTAGCTGGTCTAGTTCCACCTGTGTGGCCTGGTTCTGCCGAATCAACTCCTTGGTTTTCAGAGTGATCTCCAGCAAGCCGGACTTGTGGAGGACTACCAGCGTGTTCTGGAAGCGCCGGTGCTTGCTCTGCCGCTGCTCCGTGAAGATATCTGGGCTGCGGCAGAGGTGTTCCGCTGCCCACAGAGGAGAGCTATACTGAGCGGACAGTGGGGACAAGGGGGAGCTGCTTTCTAATCCATGCAGAGTACTGTCTGAGGCACAGACAGGACTGGCCGGGGACGCAAAGGTCAGGCTGGGAGCTTTAGCCACGTGGCTGCTGGATACTGGCTGCAGAGTCTGTGGACTTCCACCTGCCACCAGGGAGGGCACACCCTGCAGAGCTGAGTCCTCGGTGAGTTTGGCACTGGGTGGGGCTGGAGTGGAGGGACTGGAAGGCACAGTGCCAGACTTGGTGGGCTCACTGGAAGACACGCTCGGCCCCAATCTCTCAGTACAGATTTTCTTCTGCACCCCACTCTCCCCACGTTCTTCTGGGCTGCTGGAGAGGCTCCTCTTGCCTGGGTGCGGGGCTATTTTGGTGTAAGAATTCAGTATAGGCAGGTAGTTCCTGGAGTCTGACTTTTTCTCGCCAGTGTGGCATGGGCTGACGGGAGAGGGTACAGGCGGATGAAGGAACAAGAGCTGGGGCTGTGCTGAGATCACTTCAAAGGAGGGCTGGACAGTCCAGGACTGGAGCTGTGATGAGCTGCTGCCCTGCAAACAAGGGAAAGAACAACACACGACTTACTGAGAGAAGGGCAGACGATGGAAACTTCCACTAAAGGGGCGAAGTAGACACTTGGGCAGTAACAATAACATTTCAAGTACAGCTCACCCTTCACATACAGGGGAGCCCTTGTCAAGAGCAGGCCTGGAGAAAAGGGGGCCTGCAAATCCATTTGTTTTGATAGCATAATCCATTTCCCCCCCTTTCCTCTTTTTAAACCTTTCCTATAGCACAATGGGAGAAAAATGCTATTATTCAGGAAAAGAAATTGTAGCTAGCCGGAAAAAAAAAATCACATAGTAAAGATCAAGACTGAGGCAACAAAAATAGGGGTAGCACCATTTCAAGCATAAATAAAACCTTGACAATTTCAAAACTATGACTTTACATGAAAGCCTGCCTGCATTTAGTTATACCTGGAACCTTTTATTTGTAATCAGCTTTTCACTTATAAAGGTGTTGGCAGGTGTTTATGGGTCCGTTTTTTAATGGCAGTGACACCTGACAATCATAAACCGATTTAAAATAGTAATCAGTGCCATTTGTTGCAAGTGTACTTTTGGCCAGCACTGCATGATATCCTCATGCCTTATCTCATTTACTCCTTTTAACAAACCCAAGAGGAATTATCTCCTTTCATTAACAGGAAACTAAGGTCAATAAGCTGAACTAACTCACTTCAAGTCACAGAGCTACTAAAGGATGGAGCTAGGAGTCCAGATCTTATCTGACTGTAAAACCTATCTTATCTGTTCTGCCATACTGCCTTTGCTGTATCTGACTCAGGTGGGAGTCTAATAAAGAAGGCCCTGTCAACTTGCCCCAGTTCCAACCTGGACCAAAACACAATGAGGCCAGACTGAGAGACCTTGACAGAGGTCCTATTCATTTTTTCTTTTGTGGGTTTTTTTAAAATTAATTTTAATGAAAGTTTACAGACTTAGGGCTTCCATTAATTCATTGTTGCACTTTTCTCCCTGCCCACTCCCTCCCCCTCAATTCACTCTTCTCCTTGAAAAAGAAAAGAAAAACTCCTTCATTGTTATGCAATCCCTCTCCCCAAGTCCACTCCCCTGTGCAGCCTTCATTCTGGACTCCTATCATGACAATAATACCCAGTCATCTATCCCTTTTAAACAGTTCCCTCCCTCATCTGTTTCAATGCAGTATACATCATTTCTTCCCTCCTTCTCTGCCTTCCCTCAATCCCGATGTCAGTCCTGTTTTACAATAGTGGCCCTATGCAATATCTGTCCTTTTGTGACTGAGATATTTCATTTAGCATAATGTCCTCCAGGGTCAGTCCTATTCTTGGTGGGGCATGCACCCACGTGATTTTGCTGAAGCAAGCTGTGAACACGTGCATGGGCACATAAGTGGACACACATTTCAGTTCTGTGGATGCCAAGTGAGGAACTTGAGGCCTACTACAGTTTACCTCCTGTGCAAGGGGGTGGGGTAGGGGTGAGCTGGAAAGTACACTGTGGGGCCCTCTGGGTGTCCAATACACCCCGAGATACACACAGGTAAGTAGAGCCAAGACCAGGAATCACCCTTCCCTGTCAAAACCCCAGCAGTATTTCCACACAGAGTTCACCTCAGTGCAGCTCAGTCTGAAGTAAAACTTCAGACAGTCCCTCAAATCAGACTCATGCCCTAGGGTGACCTACAAGCCCTAGGGTGACCTACAAGGCCAACTGATCCTAAAAGGACCAAATCTACTGCTTTTCCAAGATGATTTTACTGGCCTGTTCTGACAGACATTGAGCTCATTTATTCCAATTACTAGATTTTACATACTGTACAATTCATGCTAACATCATCTGAGAGAATACCGAACAGAATTCTAGGCTTGAATGTGATCTTAGAATCATTTCACATAAAGCCTTCCTAGTACAGATGAGTTCTGTGGTGCCTATGTAATTGTGGGTAAGATCAAACGGTCTGAAGATGTAACTGCAATCAGACCTTCAAAGAAAAACACCCAAAACCAGGCAGCAGTAAGATATTACACAATAGCTAGAGAGTTTCAAAGGTATATTAACATTTATTTTTAGAACGCACTGAACTTTATCACATTAAATCAAAACAAACTCTAGATCTTTCCATCAGGTCAGCCTGTCTCCCACTCTCCTGATGGGAGCCAGTGACCTTCTTGACTGGTCTTTCCTGGAGAATAATGTGACTCTGCTGGAAAGCTCCTTACTCCTTGAGTATGGGCTGTTCTCAGCCTTCTGGAGCTGCCAGTCTAGCCTACAACAAAGAAGGGGCATAAACACAGACACACGGAAAGAGCAACGAGGGAGAAAGGAGGAAGGCAGGGAGAAAGGGAGCCCCTGGCACAACACTGAGGGACCCGCTCCAGGACAATCTCGTCTGGGCTCCATTTCCTGCCTTTATTCTCTGCCTTCACTTCAATAACATAAGCTGTGCCTCCAGCTGAGATGAGATTTAACAAGCAAAAATAGACACATTTTCCCCCACTAACTCCTCAGCTTACCTTTTTTTTTTGCATAGTTTCTAATCAATTTCTCATTCTCAGAAATAAATAGGTAATAGTTTAGACTTTAACTAGCGTGCTTTAATTGGATACAGGTACCTTCTTCTAACTTTTTTACATCAGGCAGGAAGCCAACTACAGAAAGCCCAACGTCAGTTTCCCTCTCAAGGGCCCAGGGTAAGGACTGCAATGTATTTTCAGACTAAAACAGGGAAAGGATAAACGCTCTTTGGCTTTTATCCATCTCATCTATGCTTTGAACTTCTCCATTCTATTTTAACCAAGTTCCTCTGAGTGAGTTCTCTGTTTTAAACACTAGAGCTTAGCATAGATTTTCATCTAAATCTCTTTCCTTTCATAACTAGACAATAATCACATAATATGCACAGTTATGTAAGAACTCCTGAAACAGGATATTTTTCAACTCTGTAACACTCCTATGTGGAATCTGCTGGTGCAATCGGACCTAAATCAGAGAGCTTCTCATCACTCATGGCATAGCGTTGGCTGATTACTAGGAAAAGGCTCAGAATATGACATTAAGAACATGGAAATCGCCTCGACCTCTGAAGCAAACATATGCACCCTACATTTCTAAGCTCCCTGAAGCGATACGAATGAGCAAGCAATTCTGCCCTCAACTCTGTCATGCACGCACTACAGAAGGGACCTTTCTACTTGACCCCTTTACATATGACTAAAGCATTCTGGAAGGATGCTCTGGGGGCTCAGCAAGGTTAGACACTGCATTGCTAATACAAAGGTCCGTGGTTCAGATCCATGAGCTGCTCTGTGGGAGAAAAAAGTGCAATCTCCTCCCATGCTATTCACTGCCTCTGAGAACCTACTGGAGGGGTCAGCTAATGGGTTAGTTCCCATTCGACAGTCCACAATAATGACAAAGCATTCTGGGGTCCCTTTGGGAAAACAAGAAAACAAACAAACACTCCAAAACTCAATGCCATCTAGGAACTGACTCATATGACCCTCAAGCAGGTTTTCAGAGGCTATAAAATGTATGAGGAGAATGTCCACCTCTCTCCCTCAGAGAATGGATGTGAATCATCTGCCTTTGGATGGACAACGCAACCCATCACCCAGGAGGCCAACAGAGACAATGGATACAGAACTAAGGCAGACTTCCCATCAGGAAAATGAGAATATGTGGCTTGATTATCAGAGTACGACTGCGTCAGTGTGGACCTTGATGGCTGTTTCTACAGTCTCACGGGCAGTGAGGGCAATGCTATTGACAAGGCCAGCTCAGACACTCCACTCTGCAGACTTGAGGGGCCGGTGGTCGTCCTCACCTGTTTGACCAGCACGTTCTTCATGACCACCATGGGGGACAGGGCTGAGAAGGGCCCGTTTGCAGCCTTGGAGCTCTGCCTCCGCCTGTCTTCTCGGCTCCAGCCCAAGGCGCTCAGCATGTCTTCGGACTCCATCTGCTCTGCCGAGCTCAGACATTCTGAGCTCCCATCTGGTGGACAGAAGAATGGTCAGTTCATTTAGGATCCAGGCTAGGGGCACCGAAGCCAGCTCCCAGGGAGCCACGGACCCCTTGAAATTCAATGCAACATTTGTGCTATTTTTTCCTGAATTTTAGTGAGAAGGTCTGTACCTTGCATGAGATTTGCAACTCTTATCCCAAAAGATTAAGAATCACTGCCCTAGGATAGCCTGACTTCCTGTCCACTGCAGACAAAGCCAGTGTCAGCTAGTTTCATAAGAAAGTAGTCATCACCAGAGTCTACCAAAGAACAGAGCTGAAGGCTTGAAGTTCGTTCGTTGCTTTCAAGAATCTCATCAACTGGGAGCGAGAGTGTGTAACCCAGGGCATTTAGAACCTCTGGGCACAAGATGTAACAATAAAAATAAAACCTCAAATTTTATATGCATGTTGAAACTAAAATAGCTTCTTCCTGACTCTTCTAATCATAAACTTTTGAATAAGTTTGAAACGTGTCTTTGTTGATCTTCTTCCAGTCCTATCCTTTCACATTGCTGTTTTGTCTAAGTGCATGCTGACTGTGCCGGGTGGCGATCCTACAATGATAAAGCAAGGTTCTCTGCAGGAAGACTAAGGTGAAAAACATTAAGGGTTCCTGACAAGATGGACGTACTGCACGGGGAAAGTCAGCAGTCAGGGGCCTCTTCAAATTACTGAGGAGCAGTGACGCCAGTTAGAAGACTAAGATGCATCTGATTCAGGTTACCGTCTTTTCAGTCACTTGCTATGCATGTGAGAGCTGGACAATGAACAAGGATGACAGAAGGCGAACTGAAGCCTTTGAGCTGTGGTACTGAGAGTCCTGAATATCCCAAAAGAACAAACAGGTATGTCTTGGAGAAGGTGGAGCCGGAGTGCTCGCTGGAGACAAAGACAACCAAGCTTCGTCTCACAACCTTTGGGCATGTTGCTAGGAGAGGCTATCCCTTGGCAAGGGACATCATGTTTGGAAAGGTGGAAAGTCAGAGAAAGAAACAAGGGCCCCCAACCAGATGGATTGACACAGTGACTGCAGTAACGGCCTCAGGTGCATCAGATGTGATGAGGATGACACAGGAGGGGAGAGGGTGTTCATTCACAGGGTAGCTATGTCAGTCATACTCAACTTGCCGGCACCTAACAACGATGACGACACAGAGATTGTAACAATGGGTTCAAGTGTGTTGGACATGGTGAGGATGGCACGGGTCAGGGCAGGGTGGTTCACAGGGTCGCTGGGAGTCCTAGTCAGCTCAAGGCACCAAACATGACCACCAACAAGTAAATTTACACAAAAAAGGCACTCAGCTGAAGGAAATCAAGAAATTACTGTACGTCGGCTACTGTAGAGGCTGGGACTCTTCTAAATATTCTCCAGGAATCTCCAGAGATGTGGAGGCGGCAGGGCTGGGATGTGATGGTCAGTTAAGAGTGTCATTTTCAACACTTGCATTTTTTCCCAGCTTTGAGGAAGACTATATAACCACAGGATAGCCATCAAAAAGGGTGGAATTCAGAATCTCCAGTTAAGCCTGACCTAGAGTGACTTAATCAATCTACCTGAGGAATGGTGTGCAGACTTGGGTATATTTACAAAACACCACAGTAATCCAAATGTGCTCATCTGGTTAAGAACTGTTAGGCTAGAAACAATGGATCTCAAAAAAACAATCCCAAGATGTGTATCTAGTACTTGGACCCTGGCTTCTAAATGCCTTTCAAGAAGAAAAAGAAACCAGGGCACTGCAGAGAAATGGCCAATCCCAAGTGTCTGGTAAGAAACACCTTGACCCAGAAAGGAAGTGCTCCCTCACTTATGGGGACATGCCCAGAGTCCCAGGATCTAGGCAAAGGTGGGACCATGTTAGTATCAATAGTAACAGGGACCCCTTCTGCGGCACCGGCTTCTGGACGCACTAGGTCACGACCAGCGCTTTGGGAAGATACTCTGTATGTTTTTCCCATTTCCCTTCTCTTTACCATTTTTTACCTTTTACTCGCAATATATTTTTGCTGAACTCGTTTCACAAACCAAAAAAAAAAAAAAATAGTAACAGGGACTGGACAACTTGAGCTATTAAAGAATTCCATCAATCCATAAAGACATACAGAAAACAAAGAGAAAAGGAAAATGCTTCATTATAGAACAATGACGGCTGAAGAATGCATAAGGGATGGAAGAATTTAAAAAAATCACTATTTTTTAGATAAGAAGCAACTAATTCCGGTAAGACAACCAATGGATGTTAAAGACACTAGAGGAAAGTTTGTCGGGGAACAGGAGAGTCAATTAAACTCAAAGTATCATTCCACAAAGTGTTGATTAACTATAACAAGAAAACTATTCAAGAAACCTGGTATACATTACCTAAAGCAGTGGTCACCTGGAGAACCACCAAGAATAAAGCCAACTTATTAGTCTAGGATTCTTGTCAAAAAATGTGTATCCTGATTCTAACAATGAGAACACCATCTAGACTGTGGGACATTCTGCTCTAACTCATACAGAGATGTTAATATCAGGGGCGAGGGAAGGACAGAAAATGGGAGACTTGTTATAGACTTTTAAAAGGCTGAAAAAGACAGGACAATAAAACATAAGGCACACTCCTCAACTGGATCCTGGATCCAGTACAAAGAGCTTTCAAGGGCACTACCGCACCAACAGAGACAGACCCAGGGACTGCACCAACGGGCTCCGGTGTGTCAGAGATCGTGAGGCTGACACAGCACAGGAGAGGGTTCAGATCTGATAGGGTCCTACTCGCCTCATGGGCATCTAAGACCACCACCAACATTGGAGCAATGGAAAAAGGATGAATCTAAACTGTATCTAGTGAGAACTCTATCAAGGCGAAATGCCTTCAGTATGATAGTATTACAGAAGACACATACACTGAACTTGAAAATAAGTAGCTTATTTTCAAATAATTCACCTAGTACGCACACACACACTATTTACTGGAACATGGTTAGATTCTAAAGATCAGGCTGTAATGTGGAATTCAGCATTATGCAGAAACGGAGGATGACTACATATTACGTAACTGTCAAACCACTAAGGATCCTCGCCCAGCCAGGCTGACACACAAGCTTCCCCATTACAGCCAGCGTGACTCTCACCTGCATCTGATGCTCATTCACTAATGCCAGATGGACAGAAGTAATGTGCAAATCACATAAAAGATATTTTACTATTATCATGAATGCAAAATGTCAGATAATGGTATAGTCCATAAGAAAAGATTAGGTGGGTTTGGTGTGTATAGTTTATGTGTATCCGTTGTTGTTGTGTACCAGTGAATCAGAACAGACCCACAGCTGACCCTCCGGCAGGTTTTCAGAGTCAGTAAACTGCATGGGAGGAGTCTGCCCATCCTTCTCCCACAGAGTAGCTGGAAATTTACACTGTGTGCCTTTGGGATTGCAGCGCAGGTTCTTGTCACTAGGTCACCAGAGAGAAAACAAATACGGCAAAATTATAAAAACCAGTGAATCGGAATGTTACTTAGGATATTCACTCAATTTTCTATAGATTCGGAATTTTTCAAAGTAGGTTAAGAAAATAATTAAAATGAGACAAGGAGAAGAGAGTTTGGTTTTACAGACTGAGTAATAGTCTAGGGTCACTGGAAAGTACTCCAGTAGTGTGATGAGCTCACTGGGTCTTGGCCCAGGAGTGGCCGGACATACTGCATTCTCTGGGATATAACGAGGTCTGATTATCTTCAATACCACCTCATATATGAATAGGATGATACTTTTTAAGGTACTTGTGCAGAAAAGAGGACAACACTATCAAAAACATCCAGACAGTATGTTATTCTACAAGGTCTCAAAGCAGCCAGGAGGAGAAACAGCCAAATACAGGAGTATTGACAATAGTAGGGAAATTTTAATTTTTTTTATGTTTTCTTAATTTCTACAGTGAGCATATAATGCGTCTGTAATAGGAAAACCAGGTAAAACAAATTTGAGGTTAAAAACCAAAACTATAAGGCCTGCAATGTCTCCAAACCTACCTGATCATGTGAATCCCCAAAGGTCCTTGTGGTAAACCTAAACTTGAGGTCCTCCTTCAGACCTTGTACATCAGAACCTCCAGGGCAGAAGTTAGGTGATTAGCCCTTTAAACAAATTTAAGAGGAAGAAAAATACCAAGGGCTATAGGCCGGCCTGCCCGTCCCAGCACTGTCTGGACACTGGGCAGGAGCATGTTAAGTCCTCTTATTCTAATCCCTTGGTCAGTGTTCTGTTCTTCTCTGAGCAACAATCTATTTATAATTAGGCCTCTCATCCGACATGTCGACAGGCAGAAAACACGCTAATCAAAGGGCAAGAGAGGTCTAGAGGTCTAGTATCCCTGACAGCTGCATTTCTCACTATAAATGAGTAAATCAACAAGACTGATTGATTAGTCTATGTCAGCGTAATCTAAATCCTCCCTCAGGACAAAGCTCTACTCTCAGGAATCAGATCCAGCCAGAATTCCCTGGCATCACCATCTGTATTCCTGAGGTAAAAACTGTTAACACTAGAATGGAGGGGGGGAGGGGGAGAGAAATGAAAATGTTCACTGGGTATGAATCTAAATCTTTCAGATACAGTTTAAGACACTTTCCCCTTGTCTCAGATACTCAAGTTTTGAACTGAGCCAGGTGCCCAGAGACCAAATGGAAAACACATGAATACTGGGGAATGGAGTGTGAGCGAGAACATGTTCAACTCTTCCAAAGCTACTTTCTCTTAACAAAGTTCTCTTAACAAATGAGTAGTGATACGGAGCTGTGGTGGCCTGGTGGGTAAGGAGCTGCTCTGTGAACCCAGCGGCAGGCAAAGTGAGTCCACTAGGACTCTCCAAGGGAGAGAGACGGGTGATCTCTCATGTGATTTACAGCTTTTGAAAACCTGCTGTAAAGTTCCAAATTCATGGTCATGGCTTTGACCTTAACTAAGGAGCTCCAGTGTAGTACATGTTGGGTTGCTGACCAAAAGATCAAATCCAGCAGTTACTGAGAGGAAGAAAAATGGAGGCCCACGTTCCTGTAAAGATCTAGAGCCTTGGAAATCCAATGCAAGGGCACCATGACTTGCTATCAACTTGACAGCAGTGGGTCTGCTTCGTTTTAAATGACAGCCTTCAAATGTGTTCCATGGCGACAATAGGTGATAGATTTGGTTTTTCTGTAATGTTAACTATTCCCAAGAAAAAGGAGCTGAAACAAAAGTTGAGAGTGTTAGTCATCCAGTGCTGCCCTAAAAGAAATACAAGTGGGTGGCTTTAACAAACAGAAATTTATTTTCTCATAGACTTCTAGAAGGCTAGAAGTCTAAATCGAGGGTACCAGATCTATGGAAAGGCTTTCTGTTTCTGTAGGTTCTGGGGGAAACTTTGTCTCTTCAGCTTATTTCCTGGTCTCTTGGTGATCTCCCATATAACCGTCATCAGCTTACCCATCCCCACTTCTCTTGCTTATTTCACTCATTCATATATTAAAGAGATTCACTCAAGACATACTCTTACGCTAATTTTGCATCTCTTACATAAACAAGGACAACTCATTCCCAAACAAGCTTGAAGGTTAGGATTTACAACATATTTTTGGGGGACACAATTCAATCATAACAGTGTATTAAAAGTTCCCCAGTAACCACTTATAATAGTTTTCAGTTAAGCTTTAAAGATGAGGATCTAAGTTGGTTGTTTTTTGTTGTCGTTTTTTTTTTAAAGTCAAGTCAGGGAGCTCTGGTGGCCTAGTGGCAGGAGGCTGCACTGTAATCCCAGAGGTGTGTGGTTCAAATCCACCAGATGCTCTGCTGGAGAAGGAGGGACAATCTCCTCCTGTACCAGTCAGATCCAATTGGACAGTACACATAAATAAAATTTTTTTTTTAAAAAGTCAAGTCATTCTTTTTAGAACTAGCCTGAGGGTCACTTTGGCATCAGAATTACCAATTTAGAAATAGTTATTCATCCTGTGTGGGAAAGCTTCCTGTCATTATCACACAAATGAGATCTGGAGAGGAACATTTTTTAGGCATATCATTTATTAAAATGCAGAGAGGATAAAGTATTTTTAACCTGAAAATCCCGAGTCCTTATCTGAGTCGGCCGCCGCCATGCTGAGCTGACGAGCAGCCTTCTTCATCTCTGTCCCTTTGCCCAGCTTGGCCGAGAGTCTTCGGGGGCTCTCCCTGGTCGGGTTTTTCCTGTCCATGTTTTACTGGGTTGGAAGTAGGTTCATCAATGGCCCTTTCATCTGGATCACCCTGTAAAACAACAATTACATAAGAAGTCCTGGCCTGGGGAGCTGAGACAGGTGAGCCAGGCTGTGAGGAGCACAGCGGGGGCACAGGAGGCTGGCTTTGCCCATGGCAGCCACACTCAGAGGTTTCCATTGACAGTGGCTTCAAGTTCATTACCCAGCAGAATGGCTTCCATCCAACAGCAGACCCACAGTTCTCTGGCTGCTCCCCCTAATTCCATTATGAATTCAAGGCACACAGACGACATTCAGTAGAAGCTTTGTCAACTGCAAACAAAGGCACATTTTATTGGGCTTTTTGGAATGGGAAGCCCAGTCAACTCAGCCTCCTCCCTGAAGAGAGGTGATGCTGACAGACAAGGTTTGCTTTCCCAGGACACACCTGCAAGCTCCTGACCTAACACCTCCTATGCTGCAGGTTCTCTGTTAACCTCTCACTTCCTCAGATAAGGTAATGTCAAAACAACTCCTTATGTATGTATGTGACTTTGTAGCTTTAAAAATTCTAATGAGCAAAAAAGATCAAGAATAAAGTGCTCCGATTACATAAAAAGTGTGCTCCTAAAGCTGCTGTTAATGTAATATTGCTTAAACCTCACAAGGACCTCCTTGGTGGTTATTCCACTTTACAGAAGAGGCAGGTGAGGTTCAGGTAAGTATCATCAATCTTCTGAGAATGGCTAACAAGTGTCTACATATGAACCAGGCTTTGGGTTTCACTATTTTGGATGCTATTAGCTCCTACTCATATGACAATTCTATGCACAACAGAATGAACTGGGGGCCAGCCTGAAGCCATGCTCACAATCAGGGCTATGTGTGAGTCAACGCTGCAGAGGTTGTGTCAATACACACTATGCGATGACCAGGGATACAGAGGACAGGACTGGCACAGTCCCTGCCAACCTGGAGCGTAGACATTGAACAATCACCTGGCTAATCATCATTTTGGTAAGAGCTGTGAAGGAGAAAGGCTCACAGTGGAGAGATGCAGGAAAGGGACCTGTTCGTGAGGAAAGGACACATTGTCTCTGGGTGATGAGTCAGCGGGCGGGAGCCAGGTGGAGGAGGATGGGTGGGGCTTGGTGTGTTTCAGGCAGCATGAAGGCCCCGTGAGAGCAAACATCTTGGCATATTCAAAGGGCTGAAAGGCCAAGCAGCTGAAGTATAGAGCAAATGGGTCTGAATGACAGTGGAGGGGCAGGTGTGGAACAGACGGGTGGGTGGCGCTTGGAGCCTACATTTAAGACTCTGGCTATTAAGAGCAATGAAAGCATTTTAATCAAAAGAGTACCATCATCGGCTCTGTGTTTTAAAAGTCTTTTTGGGGAAGCTGGGTAGAGATTGAATTGGAGAGAGGCAGGAACGGGATTGAGCTCATTTAGATACTACCACAGGAGTGTAAGTGGTGATAGCAGAGGGGGAGGGAAATGACAGATTAGAGGTGCAATTAGGAGTCCACCTGGATGGGATCTGGCCATTGTGCATGGGGAGGAGTCAAGGGCACAGAAAGGAGCTGGGTGAGGTGAGGAAGGCCGAGGGGGCTGGTTTAGTTTTTGTCACATAAAGTCTCAAGTAACTGTGTATCACTCAAGTGGAGATGGTGGTAGATAAATTCTAAGTGCGGAGCCCCAGAGCAAAGCCCAGAACTTCCCCAATGGCATACAGCTAGTCCAGAGCAGACCCGGAACTAGACTAAGAGTGCAGCAAAATGAAACAAATTCGCGGGCAGAGGCTGAGAACATTCCGGATACTTCCTCAAGGCCACATGAGTTACCAGGAATGGCAGCAGTCCAGTGGCACGGTAGGAACACAAAGGATCTTGGGAGCATAAAAAGAATTAAGGCGCCAATGGGAAAATGACGACAACACTGTAGAGAGAAGCAAAGCCTGGCAGGTTTAATTCCCAGTCCACTCGTGACTCCATCCTTTTGTCCTTCGGAGACCCCTGCCAAACTGCATTGAGTTTGGGTAGCCTGAAGTGCCAACTTGAACATTTCGGCTAATACAGGATGTAGGGGAAGGCACTGAGGACGTCAGAAATGGAAGGAGGATTCAAATGAAATGAACCAGAACCCAGCAGGATGTGCTTCCTTGCTCAAACTTTTGTATATTGCAGGAACAGGCTAAAGGGAACACCACCTGGTCTGAACGAGAACGAATTAAAAGTCAAAATTCTTCTGCACCATTGTCTAACTCTTAACTAGCTTCCTCATTCAGTTCACATCAAAACATCACGGACTTTATGAGAGTTACTTGTTCAAACCCACAGACACTAAAGACAGACAAAGGTCTGTCATGTCTTGCATGGCACGGAGCAAAGAGCCATTCTATTTCACAGTTACGTGGGGTGGCCCCCGTTACCAAAAGACTAAAATGTGAAACTGTATCTTTAATTAAATCAGGATGCTTTTGAGTGAAATGAAAAAAAAAGCCTAGTTTCATTTTCTTGCAAATAATACTGTCCAAAGGCGAAATCGAAGGCATGTTTAAAATGGAAGTGAAAATGGCTTGTGAATGGCATTCACTAATTTAAATCTGACCATGCCACCGAGTTAGATTAGAAGCAGCAGCAGCTCATGCGAGCTTTAACTAATAAAGTCTACAATCAAGTTTTACAAGAGCTTACAAAATGCATTTCATAGATATTTTAGGTGATTTAAAATGCTATAATCCTCGGGACAAGAGAATGATTAAAAGAACCTCTGCATGGTACAAAAAGAGCTGTGGTAGTGTCAAAGGCTGAATGCTTGGCTGCTAACCTGAAAGGTTGGTGGTTCTAACCCATCGGCCACTCTACGGGCAGTTTGCTTCCTGCCGACTGCAGCCTTGGAAACTCTTTGGATGTAGTTCTAGTCTATCCTACAGGGTCGGAGTCAGAACCAACTTGCTAGCAATGGGCTTTGAGCGATGCACGTAGTTACGATGCTCAACTGCTAACCCAATGGCTGGAGGTTCAAGTCCACCCAGAGGTGCCTGGTAACAAAATCCTAATGATTTGCTTTTGAAAAATCTGGCCCTGGAAACCCTATGGCATCCAGTTCTACTCTGGGGTTACCATGAGTTCAAGCAGGTTTGGTATCTGGCAACTGGTATTTGCTATTATTAAAATGTAGCAAACAGAGCTACCCCAAAATACAAAGGATTTATTGTGCCTCATGGAGAAACTAGGGCGTTCTGATGGCTAAATGATAAGGAGTTGTGCTACAAACACAAAGGTATACAGTTCAAATCCACCAGCTGCTCCACAGGAGAAGTGCAGGCAATCTCCTCCTGTGTGATTTCCTGCCTCTGAAAAACCAACGGAGGGTCAGCTGGGAGTTGGTTCCGACTCCATCACAATATGGAGAATTTGAAGGATGACATTAATTGTGAAATCTTTAAAACACTGAAAAGGAGGCAAACAGGTTAAAAAAAGAGAAAAGATGCTAAAATTTTGGATCCCGAAGTTGTGCTGGTTGAAAATAAAGAACACATGGTCTACTTTAGAAACTGGCTACTTGGGGATAAGAAAAGATTAAAAGTATGAAGACACTACCCTGAGTAAAGTTCTTTTTAAGCAACAGAAATCTTGAGTGTCCCACAGAGGCTACCTCCACTTCCTGTCTGTGAGTGGTGCCCAGAGGTCAAATGTCAGTGAACAAGAAAGCCACTGAAAACACTGCACAAGACCCTCAACAGGAGAGAAGCAGATGAAAACAGAACACTCTACCACTGTTCCCCAACTCATTCACTTACTGCCACAGAACTGGTTCTAACTCTTGGTTTGGAAGGCTGTAAATCACAGGAAGAGACTGCCCATCCTTCTCCCATCGACCAGTGGTAGACAGATGGGCAGCCTTGGAGTCAGCAGCATACCTTTTTACAGACACCACCGCCAGACATCACTCTCATGCCTAGGTTCATGCAAATGGCAAAGTCTGAAAACCTCAAGAAGTTGATTTTTCACCCCCTTCTCAAGTATTATTTTACAAGTTAAATGTTCATAAGCTACAAGAAGTTGAAAACGGGCTTATGAAGCTGACTCCCATCTCTGTATTTCTAGCCAAGACTAAATGCTTTACAAACCCCTTGGCCTCCTCCTAAGTCTAACACCACATTAAAAGGACTCCAATTTAAACTCCACGCACTGCCAAAACTGATCCAGACAGGTCTCTTATGAATATACATGCCATACAGTGTTCAAAAGGTTCCCAGAGAAAGAACATACACTAAAACAATATAACCGAATAGATTTTCTGTATCAAACTCTCACTACCACCAAGTCAGAACTGACTCACAGTTGGCCCTCAGTAAATTCTCAGGCTGTTAATCACACAGGAGGAAAATGACCATCCTCCCCTGGAGCAGCTGGTGGATTTGAAGGAGTGGCATCCACTTCCGTAATCGCTTGCCTCCGGAAACCCTATGAACCTGGAGAGAGGATGAGAGACACCCAAGCGTTGAGGACTCTCCTTCACAGGGTAGCTATGAGTCGCCCGCGACTCGATGGCACTTAACAAACACCACCACCTTTGTGTTGGCAGTGCAATTCCTATTATTTAAATCAATAAATATAAGTTGAAATGTTAACTAAAATTCCATAACAGGTAAACATAATTTTAAAGTCTTTTACAGCACTTGGCTCTTACTTTTTCTGAAGTTTCTACATGAGAGGTTAAAATGTTTGTCTCCTCAACCTCAAAGGCTTATTTTTCATCTTGAAAACCAAAATAAACCCTCAAAAATTAATAGGCCTACAAGACATATGAGGTCCCCAACAGATTAACAAACCCCAACAAATCTTCTTTCCTGCTGGGTCTCTCTAACAACCTAGCAGTTAAAATGTCACAAAAATACCCTACTGGAAGGAAGATCAAGATTTTGTGTTGCCAAACACCATGGCCAACTCTAGATCTAAGCTTTCTCTTTAGGATGAAGCCTCTCCTGAACCAACCAAATTAAAGGGAGCGACACCATGCCGAATTTACAATCAACCCTTTCGAAGATTTGGGTTTATGATAAAAAGGACCAAGGGGTTCCAAGAGAAGAATCTAAAATGCTGTTCTCAGATCTTTCCTTTTATAGACACCTGGCAACTTTCCCAAGAGCTCAAGTTCCCTTTAAAACGTGTCACGTGTAGGACATGTGTGCATGGAGGGAGGTGTGAAGTTAAAGCCCAAGTGCCAGCTTATGTGCAAGGCCACAGAAAAGAACCATGTGTAATCCCAGTTAAAATTAAAATATATTCAAAGATGTAACTGGGGGTGGAGGTGAGGAGGGATCTAAAATCTCCAATCTTCCCCTTCACATCCACGTTCCAAGTCTCCAACTTGGCAACTAAATCATGTTAAAGATCCTAGATCCAATTTCCTATGTATGGAATAGGCATGGGTTGCTCCACTGTCTCCCTTTTCAACGAGGAGGTCGGTTTAGACAACTTCTTCAAATCTCCTGCTTCTAGAAGGTGGGCAGTAACAGTGCCCACCTACCCAGCAGCCAGCCCACGCTGCATCTGTGCCAGGCAGCATGCTGCACCCTCCAGGCATCCGCCAGCCTGCCAGCTCAGCAGGGCAGAACTGGGCAGACCCTAGTACTGTGCTGTGGCTGGCATGCCACCAGCCTCCCAGGGCAAACACCCAAGCAATGTGGATTGCCAGGACTTGGGCAATACCCCGGAGCCCAGCTCCGGCCTGTGCCCTGGGTAGGGCTCAGAGCTCCCCTCCATTCGCCCACTAACCAGTTAACTCCTTACTTGGCACTAACTAGCCTTCTCCCCCCACTCCTGGCACCATGCCTGGCACGCTGGCCACCCAAGGGAAATATTCAGCAACGAGGGTGACAGCAGGTCGCTACGAAAGACGTGAGCACCTGTGCCCCTGACAGGCGATCTGCTCGCCTCTGCAAACTGGAGGTCCAGGCCCCGTGACCCTGACACCGGCTCTTGCTCAGTCGTTTCCCCAAATCCCTGCCCCTTTGCACAGATCCCGCCAAGCTCTCCCTGTCCAGTCGGTGTCCCCCGGGTTACACCAGGGGCCAGCCGCCCTAACACAGGTCCCCTGCCCACACACTGCCCCCTCCCCACCCTCGACTCCCTCTCCCACGCAGTCCCCGCCCCTCTTCGCAAAAACAACCAACTAAATTGGGGGAAGAACGCACACTCATGTGGCCCCCCGAAAGCCCCGGTTCTCCCTCTCACCTACGTCGCCCCGTTCTCCTCTCCCCAGCTCCCACCTTCTTCCCCGACGCTCCCTCCTACACGCCGAGTCCGGTAGCGCCAGCCCCCGCTCCCCTGCCCAGGACTCCCCAGCCCGCCATTCGCACCTACGGCCGGGGTCGCGGCTCCACTACCAGACCTGGGAGTCAGGCAGCGCATGCGTGAGCCCGGCCCCGCAGCTCCATGACAACGCCGTCGTCGCCGAGTCCCGCGCTCGCGGCCCAGCCTCCCGCCCGTCTCCCCTCCTCCCTCCTCCCCCCCGCCTTCGCTCGCGCCAGCCACGTGACTCGTCTCGGCGTCTACCCACCCCGTACCATAGAGACGGCGCGCTGTCCTCCTAGAAGGGCACTTGGAGCCGCGGCCTTTCCCTCCTCCGCCCGCGAGCGAGAGCGGCGCGGGGGGCGGGGACTCGCCCGAGAGCCCGACGCTCTCTCCACGAGAGGCGGACTTCTCGATGGTGGGTCTGGGCGGGGCCCGCCGCCATTTTGTGCCGGGGAGCTTGGGCCAGCCGCCACGAGGGCCGGGTTTCGAGGCGGGGTTTGGAGGAACGAGGGGCGGGCCGGCTTATGGCGTGTGTGGCCGGAGGCGTGATGTGGGGAAGCAGGTGGGAGTGGGGCTGGCGGGAGGGACCCGCGGCGGCGCCGCCTGGTTTGGACGGGAAGGCGGGGTCGGTCGTCCTGACTGACGGGGACGATTCGCGGCCTCACTGCCCGGGGTGGGTTGTCGCTTTGCTGTCAGACCCGCCTGGCTGGTGCTGCACGTGACAGGGGAGGGCTTCACTTGGATGGCTTCCTAGCATTTGAATCACTTGCGCGCTTTGTGAGCATCGCAGAGTATGGCGTTTCGTTTCGTTGGGGATAGCACGTTATTTAACATTGGTTATATTTATCCATATTTAACATTGACCACGGACCCCAATTTTTATACTATTCTCATTCTGCTGTACGGAGAATTGTCCCTGATTAACAAACGTCCGGCCCGCTGAGTTTCCTATTGGACCTTTGGAGCTGGTAGTGTCAACTTTATGGCTTACAGAGAGTTCTTTAATCACGTTGCCGCAAAGGACGGCTCTAGCGGAAAGCCCTGTGTTTCTAAGCACGGTCGTCAATTTTAAAGTGTGTGGCAACGTGTTTAAAAGAGTTCAAGGCAGGTAATCAAGCCAAATGAAGGACTGCAAACCTTCAATATGGATTACATGTCAACATCAAGGAGAAAACTTCTCACCACTGGACCGCCAGGCAACATCAGGATAGATAGAGAAAAGCTTGAAACTGTCAATGACTGCATCTTCCCTGGATTCACAGTGGGTGCACGTGGTACTTGCAGTCAGGAGACGCCATGGTTTTGGGGACGTCCCAAGTTGAAGGACCTCTCCAAATGAATGAGGAGCAACGGTGTTACTCTGGGAACTAAGGTGTGTCGGATTTCGGCTGTGTTGTTGGAGGAGAGTGCTGAATATCCCAAGGACGGCCAAAAGAACAAGCAGATAGGTCTTGGAGAAGGTGCAGCCAGAGTGCTCCTTGGAGGCCAGGGGAGGAAGAATGTCACAGTTGCCCCCTGGCCTCCTTGAAGAAACCTGATAATGTCTAAGGCAACCGCACCAGACAGTGGATCCTGATAAGGCTCTGGGTCTAATCACAAAAGCCCATCCCCAAATTAATTGCTATTTTTTTATTGCCTTTAATCAACACGAACAAAAGGCCTGTAGCCTCTCTACAACTATCAACATTGATCAAAGTTCATAGTTTTCCAGAGGCAAGTTGTTTAGGAAGTGGATGCCACTCCTGCTTCACCCAAGTTGATTAACAGACCCAAATTCCAAGCAAAATGCCATCTTCCTTGTTGTTGTTATGTGCCGTCCAGTCTTGTGACTCATAGCGACCCTATGAGTTCTGTGAAGAAGCCATCTTCCTTAGTCCTCTCTAAAACCCCTATTAAAAGAAACTGCCCTTGACTGCCCTCACACCATTTTGACCTCTGGGAGTAATTACTTGTCCCTCTCAGGCCATGCAATAAAGTCCTGTTTGTTTCTTGGGACCAGCTTCTCTCTCTCTCTTCCCCCCCCCCC